TGATAATAAAACAACTGCAGGATCACATGATGCACTACACGTATGTCGTGTTATTGAATTGTACACTTGAAACCTATATAATTTTTTTAACCAATATTACTTCAATATATTTAATTAAAAAAAATAGAATCTCATGCTCTCAACATCCAAGTAACAGAAAACATAACTAGTCTTTCAAATTTGGGTAAGATTTTAGCCAGTCTATCCTCAAATTACAAAAGGAATTAGCTGAGTGAAGGAGTAAAGTAGAAAGTACACACAAAAATGATAGTCAATAGGAAGATGTTTCTTAAATTTTCTGTTTATGTCATAGCTAGAAGAAAACAAAAAGCATGGTTTAGCCACAAGTTTTCTTCCAATTCATGGCACCTTGGTTTCTCTGGCTAGGACTGTGAAGACAAGGCACGTCTATTATTGATTTGATGGGTTTTTTTAAGTGCTAAATTTCTAAATCTGATGTTCTTGCTTAAGCCTCCTGAATTAAAAATTGCTTTTGAATCTAGAGTGGAAACTGAGATTTTGATAGTGTTTACCAGCTACTGATACATATTTCAAGATGAAAAATACTTGATTTGTTACTCTTTTAGCAAAAAAAATATATATATTATGACATACTGCATGCTTAATGAACACCACTATCACTACTATTTGTTGTTGTTGTTGTTGTTTACAGTAGTTTATTCATATTTATTCATTTTCTACTAAAGAAGATCCTGTTGCACCAGTTACACCAAGGGTATTTGTTTTGGTCCTCTGAATTCTATTTTGTTATATTGAATGTATGTGACCTTGAATTCTTTCTAAAACAAGGTAAGATAAAATTAAATAAATACATATGTAAAATGTCTTCTAATTACCAGTGATTTCTGTCTGTCCAGAACATAAATAATTTACTTTAGGCCACTTATCTTGACATTTCAACACGTATTACTTTATGTACTTAATTAATTGTTCCATATGTGTATGTATTAATTTTCTCAATATTGCATACCCGAAAGCATATGTTTCATTTCATTTGTAGCCCCATTCAATCCCTGCCACAGAATATGCTAATGGAAACAGCTTTACAATTACATGTTGAAGTAATTTAAAAAAAATTTTTTTTAACGGTCTAGGCTAAAAGTGAAAAGGGGATATACTGAAAACTCTCTCTGAAAAGTATCCAAAAGTGAGCTGTTGTTTGCAACATTTGATAGGACCAATAACGTCTCAAAAAACCTAATTGGAAACTGGACACTTTGTTTTTAGATTCTTTTCTCTCTTGCCACACTAAAAAGCCAGTGTCTGATCCAGGGGATGCTGTGCACACAGTTGCGGTACTTTCTCAAGGACACTAATTCCACAACTATGGTCAGTTATTTCATTAAAATGTATCTGTTGTTCACAACCCAACTAGAAGATCAGCTTAGATAATGGTATTTTCCTCTACAACTATAATTCCACAGGCATAGGGATGGAAGTAGGGAGCAGGAAGGAAGAATGGGAAAGAATTTTTAATCCCCCAACAAAATACTTTTTGTTAAGCTTTCACACGTGAAACTTACTTGGATCTCCCATCCAATCTTACTGATGCTATTGAGCATCTATTGTTATTACTTTCAAGTCCTGGGCAACTTTGTTAGTATAGGTTCATGGTTAGCATCATGTATGTGATTGTTTGTTCTAGGCAGGATGCATAAAAAGGACAAGATAAAGATTTAAATGCTTGATGTCTCTTTAGTAGTTTTTGTAGCTTCACAAAGCTTTATTAGCCTTTTCTTAATTTTTATTTTTTTTCATCATAACACCTGTAATTTTTCCTCTGATTTTCACATTGATTCTTCATCCTGAAACTATTTTAGATCCATATTCTTGGCACAACCCATTTTCAACATGGACCAATTTATCCTGTAGGAATGCTGAATTAACAAATATAAAATTAAGTGAAGCAAAAGTTAAAATTTTATTCTATCTAGCATAGCTTTCCTGGGAAAAGACACATTCATGCTTGATAAATAACTTGGGGTTAAACTTTTTTTGCATAAGCAAAAAGTTTGAATTTGATTTTAGTACTGGAAGGGCAGAAAAGTACATTGAGCAAGAGAAGAGCACACAAAATGGTATAATGTTGGGCATTAATTGAGGTGAAGAAGGTACAGTGCAACGTCGCAGGGAGTGGATGCTGAAGGACACTGTCAGAGCACAAAGGTCTAACATACAACTTGAAATGTTTGTGTTGCTATACTGCAAACTCCTCTGCACCTCAATTTATTCAAGTCTATTTCTATCCACATTTTTTAGTTGATTTGTTAAGAAAATTGAGGAAAGGGCCAAGTCTACATCAGCCTAATAATATTCAGAAAATAGAAACATGCACAAATGCAGGAACCCAGATTGAGAGTTAATCTCGAGAATTTTTACCATAAGGGAATCTGCAGAAATCTTGGGAGAGGTTTTAAAATTTCATAGGGAATTGAAAAAGGGATAATGCAAATATGATCTAGATCCTAAAGGGACTGGAGACTCCAGCTGATACCTGAATCGCAGAAGTAAAACTCATTTCTTTCAGTCTCCATTTCACTCTCTATTCTTACTCACCAAACTGAGGAAGTATAGTCAAATATGCTCATGATGATTCCTGTTTTAACCCTGTATCACGAAATTAAATATCTGTACATTTAAGTATGGCTGGACAAACTTCATTATTTTGTTAAATCTATATAATTTTCTTTATTCCTTGAAATGTGCCTAGAATTGTACCAATTTGGATGAGCATTAGGAAATACTAAAGGAGAAGATGGTATATAACTTTCATGTTTCACATGCTAGAGAAAGGAAACTAATGGATTGGCAACACAACCACAATATAAAATTTTGCAGGAGGGTCAATCAAGATGGCAGCATAAGAGGCTTCTGAATTCCCTTCTTCCCACAAACACACTGAATGTACAGCTACGTATGAAAAAGTTACCTCTGAAATAAATCCAGAGACTAGAAGAGCAACTCCTACATACTGAGTGAATGAAAAAATACCCACACCAAAATGGGTAGGAAAGACTGAGATACATCTTCACCATGAATCTCACCCCCTGGCACGATTCCATACAATCGGGAGGGAACTCTCAAATCCCAGCTTCTTCCTAAGGAGTAAAGGGTTTGGACCCACATTTAGCACTCCAGCTTCTAAGACTCCCACTTGAAGGATGGGCCCCTAAAGCATCTAGCTGTGAAAGCCAATGAAGCTTGTATCCATGAGACTCATGAGTCTATAATAAACAAAGGAGCAGTGTTAACAGCCACATAAGTACTCACTACAGCAATCACCCCAGGATTTAGTGCCAAAGGAGCTAGCAAAATTGCCCATCTCCTATCTTTTCCTGAAAAAGTTCCATCTGCATACTTTGAAAGCAGCTGCTTGAGGGTCAGGTTTGTAATTTCGCACATTTTATGACCTGGCTGTAATCCTCCTCAGACTGGGGAAAGTGGCATACACACATCCCTGCCATTTCCCTGTAGCCTACTCCAAGTCTTCTGTGTCTCCCTGAAAGGAGCTTGTACACTAGTCTGGGCCTCAGCTTTTTCACTGCCACTTGAAGGATGGGTCCCCCATGACCTGGGTCTGGTAGCCAACAGTGTTTTCATTTGATATCTCTCTTGCCTTTAGCCCACTCTAAGTCACCAGTATCTTCATGGAGGGAGCTTATGCACACAGCTGTGCCTCAGTTTTTATAGCTGCAGTACAAGTGATAGGTCCCTGGATCACCTGGCCCTGAGAGCCAACGAGGCTTCCATTTAATAAATGATGTTGGGAAAATTGGATTTCCAAAGGTAAAAGAATGAAACTTGACCTTATCTTATACTATACATCAAAATCAGCTCAAAATGGATTAAAGACTTGCACGTAAGACTGGCAACGAAAAAATCCTAGAAGAAGACATAGGTCTTGGCAATGATTTTTCAGATTTGACACAAAAAGCAAAGGCAAAACAAACAATAAAGGACATGAACAGACTTTTTAAAAAGAAGACATACAATTGGCCAACAGGTACATAAAAAGGTGCTCAACATTGCTAATTATCAAGGAAATGCAAATCAAAACCACAATGAGTTATCACCTCACATGTTAGAATGATTATTATTAAAAAGACAAGAGATAAATGCTGGCAAGGATGTGGAGAAAAAGGAATTCTTATACACTTTTTGGGGAGTGGTACAGCCACTCTGGAAAACAGTATAGAGGTTCTTCAAGAAATTAAAAACTAGAACTATTTTTAATTGCTATGATCCAGCAATCCCACGTCTAGGTATATAACGAAGGGAAAAGAAAGCATTGTTGTGAAGAGATGTGTGTATTCATTCTCATGTTCACTTTAGCATTATTCATCAGAGCCAAGGTATGGAAAGAACTCGTGTCCAGCAATGGATGAATGGATAAAGAAAATGTGGATATACATACAGTGAAATATTATTCAGCCTTAAAAAAGGAAATCCTGTCATTGGCAACAACATGGGTAAACCTGAAGAGCAGTATGCTAAGTGAAATAAGCCAGTTATACAGGGAAATCTAAAGAAAAAAAAGTCAAACTTATAGAAATAGAAAAGTCGAAAAGTTGCCAGGGGCTGGGAAGAGGGGGAAGTAAAAGGAGTTTGGTAAAAGTATACAAATTTTCAGTTATAAGATAAATAAGGTCCGAGGATCTAATGTATAATTGATAACGCCGTATTGCATAATTGAAATTTGCTAAGAAAATAGAACTTAAATGTTCTCACAAAAAAAAAAAAAAGGAGGGCATAAATATGTGAGGTGATGAATGCATTAATTAATTTGAGGGGAGGAATCCTTTCACAATGGATATGTATATCAACTCATGATGTTGTACTCTTTAAATGTCTTACAATTTATCTGTCGATTATATCTTACTGAAGCTGAAAAATTTTTTTTGCAATCTACCTGACTCTACAACAAGAATTAAGAAATATACCTCCAGAATAAAATTCAATGTGCTTTTAAAATAAGTATATTAATTGTATTGTTAGGAAGCTCTGTAGATGATATCTTGGCTCATTACTTTTCATTGTTCATTAAATTCTCAGTACATTAAACATAATATCTACAAAGGAGAGAGAGAGGGAGACCGAGAAGATAGAGAGACTTATCACATTCATATTTTGAATCTTATGCAAAAATATCCAGCCTTTCACTTCTGGAGAAAGATGACAAAATTGCAAGAATCTACCATTTTCATTTTATTTCCTACTCGTCATTAGTTGTTATATATATATATATATGTGTATATATATATATATGTGTGTGTATAACGATCTGCTGTCTGCAAGCTGGAGAACTGGGAAAGCTAGGTTATAATTCAGTGTGAGTTCAAAGCCCTAAAAACCAGGGGAGCTAACACACACACACACACACACATACACACACACACACACACACACAAAGTCATTAACTCCAACAAGGTCCACCTGAAAGTATAGTAAAATTGGCAATATGTGCAATTGCAGTGATAGTTGGAGACTTCTAAATCCCTAATTTTCTGTAATTATGATATGGATCAGACAAGATGACTGACTTTTCCCCCTTCTTCTTCAATACCCCAATACTTGAATGTCTTAACCAAAATTCTTAGATCAAGTAAATAATTTCAAGAGTGAATTTACCTTCGTACACGTTCCACGTTGTCATCTGTCCGAAGATACTTCTTGGCATTTTCTCCTTTTCCCCCAAAGACTACAGAGTCTTCTGGGTTGGTAAAAACCTAGTTCAAATACAAAGGAAAAATCTTTCAAACACCAAATTACATCAGAGTGCTCTATCTAAATTATTTCCATTTTAACAGAAGAAATACAAGCATCCAGGATGGTCCTTATAGAAAGAAAACTTGGAGTAACAGATCAAACATAGTTTAAATCTGAATTTTTATTAACAGTGCAAAATGTTTTTTAAAAGAGAAGCATAAATAAGAACTTAAATAAAAACCAATGTATAAAAATAGTAAAAAGAAGCAAAATGGAAAAGAGGTCATAATTTTAAGTCATCATTGACTATCATTTTGGTGCACTGGCGTTTTTTTCATAGTGATGTTAACGTACCTTCTCTCAAGGGTACGAACGTTTCCAACTGATTGGCTCATCTGAAAGTCATAAGTTTACTTGCTAAGAATATTAGATGCATAAAAGAGTGAGGAGCAGGAATTGTATTTTGTATTTTGTTAGAATATGTGGATCTCTTTTCTTTTTCTGAATTAACTAAAACTTTGGGTTGAATAATATAATGAAGTATAAGAAGTTGAATTACATTCCTATATGTACCAACTACACATTCTAGGGCTATGTTCATGTTTTCCTTTCTATAATTATTATGCTGTTTGAAATGATTTTCCCATCCCTTGGTACTTGAAACGTGCACTTAAAAAATATTTAAATATGTTCCACTATTTAATAATTTATACATTAATAAATAAAAACATGAACTACAAAATTAGCCATAATGTAAGCTCAGAAATTTCATAAATATTATAATATTTTTCTTAATATGATATGGGTATTTATTCCAGATAAAGATGTTGATGAGAACCAATGGGCAGGAATGTGATACAGACTTGAGATCTAGTCTGTCTGTTTTATTCCTAAATAAATGCCTAGCACACACTAGATCTCCAATAAATATATTTTGAATAAATAAATAAATATATTACAGTGGAAAGTGCATGAGATTTGAGTTTAAGCAAATATGAATTTAAATATGTCTCACCCTTTACTGACGTGAAACCCTGGGTAAGTTGCTTTACTCCTCTGACTTTCAGTTCCTCGGCTATAAAATGGGCTAATTTATGATGATCTCACAGGATAAGAGTAACAATTATGAAAAATGATTCCATGATCTGATACATATAAAAACTATCATGGCTCCTGGTACATATCACTGGGAGTCCACAAATGTGAATTCCGTTCTCCTTTTCTGATAAGACAGGGTACATTTCTTGGTGCCACTATTTCTGGAGGACAGTGTGGACCTGGTGGTAGGCAGCTACTTTATAGCCTGCAGTTTCTAACACCTTGCCCCAACGGAGATTTAAACAAGTGGGTGTGCGTCTCCATTAACATGAAAAAATCCTTGGGAAAGAAATTATACCTCAAGACAGTAGCTAGGAAATACCTTAAGGAAGACTGTGACCTCTAGATAAAAGCAAGGTTCTCAGGACAGGCACTAAGAGAGGAACAGGTGAATATCAGGAGGAAGTTGCTAAATAGGCACAGGGACCACTTTATCAAGGTAGCTTTTAATTTTATCAAGGTAGCTTTGCTCACTCTACTCCCCTGACCATATGGTAAACCCTATTTAAATACAAGATATGTGCTCCAAAATCTCCCTACCACCTTCCGCATGTTGACAGTTTATTATTATTATCATTATTTAATCATTCTTATAATACCGGGTAGCAATATTATCCACCTAAGAATTCAGAACTACACAAAATTTAAATGCTTTGTCCCATAAAGAGCTCTCCTATGGGAATAAGAACTATTATTGTGTCCCCAGAGACATATCCTTGAACTGTAATAGAGAAGAAAACACAACTTACATGTCTAGAAAATGACTATTTTCTAAACTCTAGTTGGCAAATTAACTTCAAAATCACAGAAACTTTCCTTGAAAACTTTGATACTCCGGAAATCTCATATGCTAAGCAGCATGACAAAAGGTAAAATCCACAACGAAAAAAACATTTACCAGTTTCTAGGGGAAAGCACCTGTTCCATAAATATATCAAAACCATCTATACCTAATGACTGCATACTACATTTGCCGCATTATACTATGTGCCACTGGACTTTACGAAAAAAGAGAAAAAATAAAGAAAATTGCTTTTCAGAATTTCAATTCTTAAAAGAAAATATATCCTCCAAATTTCTTACCTTTCTTGTCAATCTGTAGAATGCAGTTACAATGCTCATAAACATCATTTTTGAAAGTATAATCGTTGTATAGGAGGCAAAGGACATGAATACTTCATTTTCCATTAGCTGGGTGAGATCAACCATTTTTTCAATTTTGATCTGGAATCTTAAAAAGATTATAGACAAGATAAGAAAAAGCAGACATAAATATTCCAAATAACTTAAGGGTCACTTGGTGTGCTTATAATCCAGCATTAGTCATCCTATTCTTTAAAATATCTTGAGTTATTCAGAGAAGAAATAATCATTTTGTTTTCTAAAATTTCAAAATAAACAGAATTGTGTTTTACATCTAGTTCTATGTCATTAAGCTTGAGACATCAAAGAAGTAGAGAGAAAACAAAAATGAAGTGGGTATTACCAGAAAAATTAGGCAAAATGCTGTAAAGATAGACTAATATCATATTTTTACATCAAGATGAACTTCAAGTTGAACACAAAAGATCAGAATTCATGGACTGAATGCTTTAGAAACATCAAACCATGTACATAGTAGTACCATTAATGTTTCATTAGCAATGCCTAACTTCTAATATATGTCCCGCTTGAGAACCATTCTTACAGCTTTTTATCATTTCAGCAGAATTCAAGATCTCAGGCTCCAGGATATGAATTCTGGTCCCACCATTTGGTTAGTCTGATTGAGAGATTTGGCCTCTCTGAGGCTAAAATTCTTCATTTATAAAATATGACTAGTAATAACTCCTAAATTATTAGGTTGTTGTTAGGATTAAATTGAGATAATGCTTGGAATATACTTAGCACAGCAACTGGCCCGTAAAAAAACCCCTTGATAAAGTTTATTATGTCCTTATCATGATCATCACTATCACCATGACCATAGTCATCACTAACATCAATGCAAGTGAAGGAGAAGGATAATGGAAACAAAATAACAGGCTTGCAAATGCAAGGTAAAAAAGTGGCATTTATGGTACTTTCA